AATTCTTATGCAAGTTATCTTAGATTAATTCTTCTGCAAGTTATCTAGGTTATAAATATAGGCTGTAAGACTCTTTTTGGAATCAAGCAATAAGAAGATTATCTCTATTGCCCGGCTCCCAGAGGAGCCGGAACCCTAGCCGCCCCCTGCCTCTTGCGCTGCCGCCGCCATCCTCCTCTCCCGCGACGGCGCCCAGCCGCCGGCACGGCCGCTCATCGCCACGCCCAGCCCCCTCCTTCCCCTACTGCCTACGGCCAAGACCGGGCAAAACCCTAGCTCCTAACACCTTGGTATCAGGTACCCGGGTTTCGACCATGTCTTCACCGCCTCCAAACCCGCCACCACCGCTGCCCAACGCCTCCCCCACCGCCGCTGCCACCAATTCCACCAACGCCGCCGCTGCGTCGCCGGGCACCACGGCCTCCCTATCGGCGCCAATCTCCCCCGCACCCGGCACCACGCCGGGCCAGGGCCAGCCACAAACCCCCCACCAGCAACCACCGCCGTCGCCTCCCCCAGCACCGCCGCAGTTCACACCGAAGGCCATGGCCGGCATGCTCAACGACCTGGTCGTCGCGGTCGAGGGCATCCGCCTCTACTTGGCGGGCCCGTACGGGCCGCCTCCACTGCTTCATCCGGCCGCGTCCGCGGGCCAGCAGGCGCTGCCATGGTACTCAGTACCGGCGGCCACCACCGGTGGCTACCCGGCGCTTTCCCCACCGGCGGCTTCGACGCCGCCTTGGCCGCAGTGGCCGACGCCGTTCGCGGTGCCAACCGCGCCGCTCGCCACCACCCAGGGACCGCAGTGGCTGACCTGGGCCCCGCAGCCCGCGCCATCCCTCCCGGCGGCAACGGTGCAGGTTCCACCACCGCCCCCGCCCAACCCTAGCCTGGGCCGGTCCTCGCCGAGCGGCCTTCCGATCCAGGAGGTCCGTTTCCCTTCGTCATCGTCGCCACTTCCTGGCTGGCTCCACGGGCCGCCGTCAGCTTCCACAGAGGCCCGGCCGCCGTCAGGGTTCCAGTTGCAGCCCGAGGCGTCGGGAGCCACAGGGGACTACGCCGGCCCTTCCACCCTGGACCGAGCTCCGTCATCAGCCCTCCGTACCGCCGAGGCAGTGGGCCAGGGCGCGCCACACCAGCAGCCGCCCTGGTTCGCAAAGATCGACTTTGCCACGTACGACGGTTCGGACGACCCGCTTAACTGGCTCAACCAGTGTGACCAGTTCTTCCGTGGACAGCGCACGCCCGCGTCGGAGCGCACTTGGCTGGCTTCCTACCATCTCCGCGGGGCCGCCCAGACATGGTACTACGCCCTCGAGCCGGACGAGGGCGGCATGCCACCGTGGGATCGCTTCCGCGAGCTATGTCTTCTTCGATTCGGACCACCGGTACGCAGGAGCCGCTTGGCCGAGTTGGGCCGCCTACCGTTCACCTCCACGGTGCAGGATTTCACCGACCGCTTCCAGGCACTAGCATGCCACGTGCCTGGTGTGACGGCCTTACAGCGGGCGGAGCTCTTCGTCGGCGGCCTTCCCGACCACATCCGCGTGGACGTCGAGATGAAGGGGCCACAAGACCTTCAGACGGCCATGTACTACGCCCGCGCGTTCGAGCGCCGCGCGGTGGCCATCCAGCAGGAATCACCGTCCCGGACCGCCGGGTTGCTACCCGGGCCGGATTCCGCGCAGGGTCGGTGTCGGGGAAACTGATCCACGAACACCTATGGGGCCGGCGGACCGGGCCCCTTTCGGTTCGGCGGGGGGCGGAGATCGCACGAAGAGCAGATCGAGGCGAGGCACACGAGCAGTTTACCCAGCTTCGGAGCTCTCCGGAGAGATAACACTCCTACTGCTGCTTGTCTGGTTGTATTATCTTGTGTTCTTGCTCTAGAGAGAGAGCGTAGTGTTTTCTGGCGTACGAATGAATCGAACCGACCCGGACCCCCCCTACATTGCGCATGGGCCTCCTTTTATACGCTAAAGGGGTCACCGACAGGTGGCAACGCAGAGAAGGGCACAAATGTAAAAAGTGAGGTGGTTGGTACAGTTACTTGTACAGTGCACCCTACCTAACCCTGACGGCAGGGGACAAGGGCATTAAATGCCCGTCTGAGTCACCCAAACAGTGCAGAAAAGGACCGTTAGGGGCGCCATCGTTCGCCACGATGGCGATCTTGCCAGCTTCGCATGCCACTGCGCACCGCTGGCTGCACAGCCTCCCGCCACGCGCGCCTGGAGAGGCCCCCAGAGCGACACGTTGGCGGATGTGCTGGAGCGTGGGCACAGAGTGGCCGCCTGCCGCGGCAAGCGCCTTGCCGCTGCGGCTATCTTGTCGGGTCCGGAAGCTTGTCGCTCACCGGGCTTCGAAGTGCCTTGGTTGGCCTTCCCGGCAAGCTCCTCTTGTCGGGGCCTTGTTGCTTTGCCGGAGCGCGTGGCGCGTCGCGGCAAGTTCCTTGAAGTGCCTTGGTTGGCCTTCCCGGCAAGCTCCTCTTGCCGGGGCCTTGTATCCTGAGCTTAAATACTTTGCTCTTGAATGACTCCAAGGGAACCACGAAGGATCTTGGCGTTCGCCCGGCAAGCCTCGCCGCGGGGTGCTGCAACTGCCCGTGCACAAGTTCGGGGTACTAGGGTACCCCTATTCTAGTACACCGACAGGAGCCCCCGGGCCTGGGCCAGACACGGTGCCGAGCGCTGTTGGGCTAGGCCCAAGACAGGGCACGGGCACACGCGGACTGGGCCACGCCGAATCTCGTTCCGTATCCACCGCGCTCTCCCCTAACGGCACGCGTTGAATGCGGCATCGTGGGAGAGATCGTGGGTGGTTCTTTATTCGGAAGGGCGAAACATCCGCCCCGTCCCTCTTTATAAGCAGAGGAAACAGGGGCAGTTCGTTCCCCCTCGCTGGTTGCTACTACTCCACCTTCACGAACCTCCGCCGCTCCCCCCTTCTTCTCGAAGCCGAGAGAGCAGCGCTCCGCCCCCCATTGCCACCAGCATCACCAACGCCGTCGACCTCCCCCTCCACCTCCGCCATGGCTCCGAAAGCCGACAAGGGAAAGGGCGTGAAGTCGGCCGAGGCGCAGCGGCTCGCGGCGCTGCGGAAGGAGAGGGCGATCTTCTCCCCCCAGCTCGGCGTGCAAGAGCTGAGGGAGTATTTCTACCTCTTTTGGGGACGGAGACGCGTGCGCATCCGCGCACGAGGGTACTCCCGGCCGCTGCTTCGGAGCTGGCTCCAAACGGGTACCCATTCTTCGCACTATTCTTCTATTGCGGGCTCTGCCCGCCCTTCTCGGAGTTCTTCTGCGATATCATGAACACATACGGCTTCCGCCTCCTTGACTTCACCCCCAACGTCGTTCTGACCATGGCAGTTTTCGCACAAATGTGCGAAAACTTTGTCGGAGTCCACCCCAATGTTGCCCTTTTCCGCCACTTCTTCATACCTCGGGTAGAGAGAGAAGAGCCGCTTGCCGGAGGGATCGCCTGGATCTCGAGAGTCGGCAAGGAGGCGTACTTGTAGGGTGAGCTCCGCAGCAAGTGGGATGAGTGGAGAGCGGAATGGTGCTGGATCGTCGAGGAGAATCCGCAGCCCTTCACCGCCGTGCGCCAAGCCCCAATAGTGCGCGGCAATGACTGGAGCA